TTGTAGAACATAACTACTGTGAGTGATGAGTCAACCTTTTGGGGACTGCTTACTTTAGGTATTTTGCACCTCGTAGGATCTGATGGCTGACACACAGAGCAGAAGGCCTGAGAGGTGTGCTGGCTTTTGCTTGTCGGCTTCCTGTGCCTGGCATGAATCTTCAGTAATGCTTAGCCTGTACTTCTTCCCATGGCTGCCTGCCTGGCACCTGCCTTGCATTGCTGCCCGCCACACTCTGCAGTCATCACTGACACACTGGGAGTCAGAGGGGCTTTTCTGGTCTTGGTTAGGCTAGGTACCATTGGCCCATTTTCTTTGTATTGCTAAAGATGACAACCAATCAGACCATGTACCTCCCTGTCTCAAATCCTAAAAGGCTTCCCATTATCCTTACCCTAAAGCTCACCTTTCTTACCGAGATGCAGGCCCTACATGAACAGACCTCCCTAACTCTCCAGCCTCAATATTTCCCTTCCTTCTTTTCTTTCTCTCTCTCTCTGCTTTCTTTCTTTGTCTCTTTCCTTTGCTTCCTTTCTTCTTCCTTCTTCCCTCCCTTCCTTCCTTCTTTAATAAACTTTTATTTTTTGAAAGTGTTTGGTTCACAGCAAAGCAGGGTGGAAAGTACAGATATCTCCCATATTCTCCCAACCCACATCCGTATACACATCACTTTCCCCATTATTGACATCCCCCCACCAGTGACATTTTTTTACCATCGATGAGCCTACATTACATCATTATCACCCAAAGTCCATAGCCTCCATTAGGGCTCACTGTTTACGTTGAGCATTCTATGGGTATAGCTGTGTACCCAGCATTGTGGTATCATACAGAGTAGTTTCACTGCTTTAAAAATCCTCTGTGTCCCACCTATTCATTCCTCCCTCTCTTGCATCCTTTGGTAACCACTGATCTTTTTTCTGTCTCCACAGCTTTGGCTCTTCCAGATGTCATACTGAAATCATATAATATATATTCTTTTCAGACTGGCTTCTTTAGTAATGTGCAATTTAAGTTTTCTCCATACTTTTTCACACCTGGAAAAGAGCTCATTTCTTTTTAGCACTGAGTAATATTGCAATAATCTGGATGACCACAGTTCATTTATCCATTCACCTACTGCTTTGGTTGTAGTTCTCCACTGATAGGTTCATGGGTGGATGGGCAGTTAGGTGGTGAGGCCTAGTTGAAGGCAGTAGTCACTGAGGGTGGAACTTGGAAGGGTGTATCCTGTCCTGGTCTTCTCTTTCTCCCTCTTTCTCCTGTCCATCGTGAGTGAGAAGATCCTCCACCACATGCTCCCTGCCTTGGTGCACTATCTCATTACAGGCCCAGAAGCAAGGGAGCCAAGTGACCATGGACTGACACCTCTGAAACTGTGAGTCAAAATAAACCTTTCTCCTTTAAGTTGCTTTTCTCAGGTATGTTGTCATGGGGATGGAAAGCTGAGTAACACTGAAGAACATTTTGGTTGCTTCCAAGCTTTGGCAATTATGATTAAAGCTGCTATAAATATCCATGTTTGTGTTTTTGTGTAGACATGTTTACAACCCTTTTGAGCAGATGCTAAGCAGTGTGACTGCTTTATCATTTGGCAAGAGTATTTTTATTATTGTTATTGTTATTATTATTGGTTTTTTGAGACAGAATCTCACTACGTAGTTCAGGCTGGCCTTGAACTCACTACATGGCCCAGGCTGGCCTTGAACTTGCAGCAATCCTTCTGCTGCAGCTTCCCAGCTGCTGTGATTAGAGATGAGCATCACATACTTGGCTAATTTTATAAAAACTACCAAATTGTTCCAAAGTGGCTGCACCATTTTGCATTCCCAGTAGCTATGAATGAGAGTTCCTATTGTTCTACATCATTGCCAGCATTTGGTGTTGTCAGTATTCTGGATTTGGGTCACTCTTAAATGTGTGGTCCTATCCTGTTTGCCCTCCCTCCCTCGTTGTCCTTCTTTACTCCCTCCTATCTTACTTCCTTCATTCCTTCTCATTTTTTATAGTGCTGGGGATTGAAGCCAGGGCCTCACACATACTTATCACATACTCCATCACTGAGCTATACTCCCAGCCCCTAACTATGGCTTTTTTTGGATACAAGACCTTGATATGTTGCCCAGGCTGGCTTTGAACTCATGATCTTTTCACCTCAGCCTCCTGAGAGCTAGGATGACGGGCATGAATCATCTCACCACATACTCCATTGTTTTAACCTACATTTTCCTGATGATATATGATGTTCAGCTTCTTATTGCTTTTTTCCTTCCCTTACTAGATTATAAGTTCCATGAGAGCAGGAACTTATATTTGTCTTATTCATCATCCTATTTAGTGCCTATAACAATTCCTTGCACCTGGTAGGCTCTCTGAATGGATGATTCAGCCAGGGACCTGAGCCTTTGCTAACCAAGTTATCTTTGGCTAGGCAAATAATTTCCATTATTTATTAGGTTAAAAAATATATATATAGTTTTGGTACCAGGGATCAAACTCAGGTCCTTGTGCTTGGAAGGCAGGAGGCAGAACCACTGAGCTAAATTCCCGGCCCTATTAGGTTAAAAATATTAAAAACTTTAAAACTTGGTCATGAGTACTGGAACTCAAATGTTTTGGCCCCATTTCTGTTTTCGAATGCTGTCTCCCTCGTTCTCCAGTTCTCCGTGTCCTCTCTCTTTAGTTCCTCTCTCCTTGTTTCCAGCCACTTCCCTGGACTCCACCCCATACCCTCCTCCCCTGATGCCTGGGCCTGGTGCCAGAAGTGGCTTCCTTACCCAAGTCCGGCCCTGAAACCTGTTTCTGTGCCCAGAGCAGCAGCCATGAGAGGAGCTGGAGGCCACTCAGGGAAAACTTGGGTCCTGAAGTAACTGGTGACAAAGCGCTTTTTCACTTATTTCCTCTTCTTTCATAACAGAGGCAATGTTGATTGCTGGCAGTGCACATCTTGCCAGCTCTCCTATCTGGGAACACATTTCTGCAGCAAACACTGTGCCTTGTGGCATCCAGGCCCTAGGAAGGCTTCAGGAACACCAGCTTCATGCTGTTTGTTCTGCTTGCTGCCCCACATCTACTCTGTGCCCTGTTCTCTGCTGTGGGATGCTGAATCTGCAGTGTACCATTTCCTGGGCTCCACCCAGCAGCTTTTGGTCAAGGGCAGCCAAAGGACAAAGCAAGATGAGCGGGTATCATGGTATTTGCTCCCCATTCAGATTCCAATCCCAACAGGGCAGCCTCTCTTCTACATGACTCCCGCTCCTGGCATCTGGTAACCTCAGGCTGGCAATGCTTCCCATGCTTGCTGACCTCTGGTGCCTTATTTTCCCTGGTTTGATCTTGCAATCCAGCTCATTCCTCAAAAGAAGTCTCTTTACTAGTAAAGTTCTTCAACCATCAATGACTTCTTTTCCCAGTAGCACAACCTTTGTGAAATTGTCAAAATTTCAGTATGTAGGAATGACCTAAGACTTGCAATAGCACAGTGCTACAGCACTGTGGAGATAATCAATGATGTGGGTACCAGGCTACAGTCACCATAACAACTGGTTCTGGGGACCCTCAAGATCCTGGTAGGTCTCAGAGCACAGTCCCCTGCTTTGTTGTCCTGCCCTCTTTCCATGTAGTTAGCAGTGTGCCACTCCTCCTGTTGAAGTAAGTGAAGGGGTGGTGGAAACAGAATTGGGGGCAGCTTCTGCAGGGTGGTGGGGCCTCGGGTGAACTGAGCTGTCCTGTGGTTGTTTGCAGAGATGCCTGGAGTGCTGGATTCTCCTGTGTGCACGGGAAGAGCTCATGGCTCCCCGAGAGATGTATGTTCCTCTGTGTGTGTGTGTGTGTGTGTGTGTGTGTGTGTACCTTAGGGAAATTTTGGTGGGCTGAATTTATTAGAATAACGTATGCTTGAAATTAAATTGTTGGTGGAAGTGGTTATAAGATTTTTCACTGGGGTGTTCATCTTATTTTTTATAATATTGGTGATGGTGGGGTATTTGCTGAATTTGTGCTGATTTTATTCTTTTGAGATTTTAGAGAAAAAAAGCAGCTTGGAGAAGACAGAGCCTCTTGGCCTAGGCAGAGAAAAGGGAGAGCGGACAAGGGCCCAGGCCCAGAGGGTGACTCACGAATGCAGGGAGGAACAGTTTCCTGCTGTGCTTGGGTTGTTGGTCCTCAATGTATCAACATAATGGGATGTATTTAAGCTGCTATCTCCAGAAACCATTGTTTTTTCAGAATGAAGAGCTACATAAAATTAAACACTGAACTTTTCCTATCCTGATTTTCAGAGATACTGACGCATAACTGAAAACAGTGAATATTTAAATTTTAAATTATTGCAGTAAAAGACACATTCCCATTAACCTCATCCCCCAAGTTCCCCTTCTCCTCGATCACACTTATTCATCATTCTTGCCACTTTCTGAAGCAGTTCTGGAAGTCCTCTTTTGTGAGTATATTTAGTTGTACTGTCGTGGCTGCCATGATGTCTTTAATCAATTCAAAACGTTTACCTTTCATGGTCACTTTGCCTTTGAGGAAGAATCTGAAGCCGCACAGTGCCAAACCCAGTGAATAAGGTGGATGAGGAGACATCATGATGTTGTTAGAAGCCTGCTTTTCCTCTGGATGGCACCTGGCAGTGCCATTCACCATATTTTTGATCACATCTTGTAAAGACCCTCACAAGACTTCCAGGACTGCCTCAGAATGTGGCAAGAACAGTGGGATAAGGAGCAAGGGGGAGGATTTTGAAGGGGATTAATGGCAATATGCCTTTTACTGTAATAAATTTAAAAAATGTGAACATTTACTCTATATTTTGATCACTCCTTGTATATCGTAAGATAATATAACACTACTTTGTTAGTGACTGTAGCGATTTCAGGATTCACAGGGCTTGTGAGAAATGACTGGGATGACATGAACCTTCACATAACCCTGCCCAAGAAGAGGTAATGTTTTCCCGGCACAAGCTGGTTAACGCTTACAGTAAAGGACACTTAGGCTGCACTCTTAATACTTATCTTTATTATGAAAGTGTTTCCAAAGTAAAATGACCCTCAATAGCGATTGCTTCCAGAGATCAAGAATGAATAATTATATTTTCATATAAAATCAGCAAAACACAATAACAATACATGAAATAATTCTAATTGGCTAACAGTACATCATTCCATTTCTGACAGAGATATTCAAGCACTGAATTGTTTTAAGAAAACAAATAAGGTTTTGTTACCTATCCTATTCCTCACTGAAAGCTGAAAAAAGAATCAAACCAAAACCTAACCACCAGCCCCTTTCATGTCAACAAATGGTTGTGGAGGCAAATGATGATTATGATGTGGGAACACAAGACGCTGCTGAAAATCATGAGCTTACGGGCTCTATGAACCTGTGGGAAGTCAAACTTGGAGGGTGTTTCCATGTTTAAATTAATGAAGCTCTAAGTGGAAGTTCCAGAATCATCATGTAACTGTTCCTGTTATACAGCTTTTATTTATTTATTTCTGCAGCTAATCTTTCAAAATCCTTAATTTTTAAAGAGTAGTTTTATAATGATGGTTCTGATGTCTTTGGACTAATAATAATAATAATAATAATAATCATATGAAAGAAATCTGCCTTTTCTGCCAAACACAGAAACCCTATTCAGAGCTGTTGTTTCTAGATTCCAGGCCACGAAACATACACCAACATAGGAAGCCATGCCTCCATGGACCCATGATAAGGAAACACAGACACACACACACAGGCACCATAACTTCTCTCTGAAAAATGGGAGCAGGCAGAGGGAGAAGTGTGTCACACAACTGATCCAAAGGCTACTGAGAAATCCACAGCAGAAAAATGACAACCTATTTGCTTCCTTTTATCAAGAGTTCTAGAAGGCTGAAAAGAACGTGAATGAATAAGATCAAACAAGACAGACCCTAGGCTAACAGGGCCCTCCTATCACTTCCTCAGCAATCCTGAGAATGCCCATTTGTGTGGAGATGCCATATGCCACCTGGCTGCAGAGATCTGTTACATTCCTGTGGCTTGGTGTGTACCCCTTTGGTAATGCATTCCTTTCAAAGTCTTCACGGAGAACTCAAATTGGGAATACCTGGAAAAGACTAAATTTCTTCGGGTGTCTGCAGATCTCATTAACATCATTTAAGAAGTTTTATGTTCTCCAATACAATTTTCTCCAGGAAAACCAGCACCACACATGCTACCTCTGAGTATTTATTAGAGGAGTTCTCTAACAGCAGAGTGGACAGGGGTCCTCAGTATGCACTGAGAGCCCCCTAGGGGTGGGAGGGTGCTGTCCACACAAAGGCAAACCACAGCGCCTTTCTTTGGCCAGTCTCTATGAAGAACTAAGATGTAGCAGGTGAACCAGTAGTAATTACTATGTGGCAATTTGAGAATGGCACAGTTTCATTTCTCCAAGATAAACCTAAACTGATTTTGGGGACAATAATATCTTTAAGAAAAAAATCTTGCTGCATTTTTAAGACTAGTTTGTGTGTAACTAGCTGTTCATGATTATTCTTTCCATGGACTATGGCTAGATACAAGTGCCATAACTTCAGTTCCAGGCACCTTCTTTTTCCACTCAAATTACCTATAGCACATGACAAAGTGCTATGAGATCATTTTACATCAGACTAATGTTGATTTGATTTTTTCTTATTTCAATATTAGAGACATTTCTGGGCTATTACGATTTGTCTACAAAAAAGACAAAGACAGAAAAGGTAAGTTAATTAGAATGTTAACACCTAAAATATCACATGAAATGTAAACACTTAACCTTTTATTTCCAAAGGATCTCTTGAAACCTCTCTGGATATAATGACACCAACATACACTAATACATGGAAACTTTCCATGCCTTTGGAATTATTTGTATAGTATTTATACTGCAAATTAAGAAAAATACATATTCAGGCAACTTTGGCTTTAATAATTCCAGATAGGGATAAAAGTAACTATTAATTTAGAATTATGAATGTACTGGGAACAATCACAGTTGTCCATAAATTTCTCTTTGAAGAGCTCTTCAGTAGTCTCAGACAAGCTGAATGGAAGACTCACATTTTACTTAGTTCAAATAACAATGAGATTTAATACAAAATGGAAGATTCAGATCCTTTCTACCTAAAATGAAGGCATCCAGTTTGCTCAAATTCAAATTCTATCAAATACAGTCATGTATCACATAACCACAGGGACATGTACTGAGAAATGTCCCATTAAGTGATTTCACTACGTATGAATATCAAGGCAGACTTACACAAACCTAGATGGTTTGCCTATGACACACTGGAGCTATATTAACATCTTACAGAACCACAATTGTCCATGTGGTCTGTCACTGATGAAAAAAGCATCATTATGTAGTGCATGACTATACTCAGAGTGGAAAGGGTGGCAACAGAACTGGCCATTTTGAGGTTCATCTACCATTCTGACTACAGATAATCTGATTTTCCCTCACTTCTTCCCTCCCTTTTCTGCCTCATCTTTGTCAGATGCTGTGGGATTATCAGATGGGAGCTCAGGACACCATCTCTCTGGCAGCTCAGCAAGAGTAGGATGTTAGTTCAACCCTGGGGATAAGCAGGAATTGTTTTCACTTTTACAATAAATATCTGAATAATCCAAAATACCGATGGTTTCTCCTCTACTTTCAAATTCCACAGGACTGATTTGGAAACGTGAGCTGTTATCTGGCTTCTGCATGACCTCAGGTGCTCATGACCTAAACTGTACCATACGTAGTTCTGTGGCTAAGAGACTGAAAGGGTTCTGCCACTCTCAGCTCGGTGGAGAGCAAGAACAAAGGACTAGGGAAGATGCGAGTGTTTTTATGATAAGAATATGGACAAAGATGAATCACTGATATTTTGCTTTTATCAGTTTTTGGAGATACATACACAGACACACATAGATCATACACTTTTATATCATTTATTGACCCAAGGCCCAATTCTACTTTATTTTCTATTTTTTTCCCCCACTAAGAGATCTAGAAGAGGTATAATATTGGAGATTAAAATATCACCTTTTCTAGCATCCTTTCTACATACCCCTTGATACCCTGGAAAGGTACGCATGTGACTAGAGGAAGGAAATGTCACCACAGGCTAATCAACAAGAAACAGCACTCTCACTAACCTACAGCTGAATTTACAAAATACACCTCCAAAAAGCCACAGCCTGGCCCAGGTGGATGATGAGATACTTCACATAGTTTTCTCTCTCAGCCTTTATTAGGCCACCTTCAGAGAGCAGTAAACAGACAGACACAGGTTATTCTACACCCTAAAAACTCTAAAAATTCCCATTTTAATTAGCCAAAAAGAACTCTGCCCCAAAATGTAAATTGAAATAGACATTTAGAGTGGACTGTGTCAATGCTACCGGCCAGAAAGACTGAGAATTCCATCTTCATTCTAAGTCATATCTGAGAAAAAGAAAAAAAAGAAAGATCATTTAGATTTGCCTCTGCTAAGGACCGAATCAATCTTACCCTTTTATGCACATCTCCTAAATCTTTAATTGACAAGCTGATCTTGAAGTCATTTTTCTGTGCTAACAGGTGTAAGATGGCCCACGTGGGGACACATGGTGGGGAGGCAAATATGTTCTACATCTTACATGATAAAATCTTTTACCAGATCAAAAATTTCAGCTACAATATGCATAATATCGCTTTGATCTATTAGCATTTGAGCAGATTTTCTGATGACTAACAGTATTTTTTGGTGTTTTGTGACTGGTCTCACAAACTCAGCCATCCACAAATTACACTCTTAGACATATGCCTGTTTTGTGAAATAAAATAACAAGGGTCCATAAGCAGAAAAGGCCATGTTGTTTTCTACAAAAACAAGCAGACATATTTCTGACCTCTTCAGTTATTATTGCAGATCATACTAGACACATCCTATTTGGAAGTGAGTGGGGGAAGACTCAATATTACAATGAAAAAGGTTTTTGTTTGGAAATACTCTTTTAACTATTAATTCACAGACTGCAAAGTGTGGGCACAAAAATTTATTTTAATTTTCTTTTTAACCAAATTAACTGTGAATGGCTCTGGGCAGACTATGCACACTCTAATATTTTTCTGTTATCTTCACTGTGCCTTGTTTCACACATTTATATTCCTGTGTTTTTGTTTTGGATTCCTGTTTTAAGTGATGGTCTTTTTTGATTTATAAAATAATTACATGTAATCCTATTTTATTCTCTCTTCCTAGAAGTTAGAAGAAAAGAGAGACATTGGCTTATGTGCATGGTATTCTTATCCATATATAACACTGCTGTGGAGAAGCCTTATGGAGACTTTATTCTTCAGGAATTTTACTCATTGCTGATATTGCAATTGTTCAATACAATTTTTGCTGCTTTTCTGGAAATAAAAATGGAATAAAAATTCCTGGAAACCATACACGTCTTCAAAGAAATAAATAAAAAGGACTTGGAGTACAATAATACCCAGTTTCCAGTAACAAGAAGGTCACTGTGGGTTATGTTTAAAGAGAAAAACAATGGGTACAACAGTCTGTCTTCCACGGGCTTTATTTTGCTCAACAAAATAAAAATATCAAGTCAAATACTAGCTAGGGCTTTTCCTCAAAAGCTGGCTGCAATAAAGTGCTTTGCCCTGGGGTGATCTGTATTAACTCCTGAAAGACTCCCTTTTCCATCCCAAATACTCTTCGCTTCTTTTTTCAGGACACGACAGAAGGCTGTACTAATTACAGGGGTAGGCAAAACCTGACTGAAATCAGTTGCTCTCTTTATATTATTCCCAGGACATGGAACAAATTCCCAATATTAAGAGTGATTTCTTTGTTTACAACTAAGAGTTTAAGCAAAGTATCTCCCTTCAGAGCCAAGGCATTGACTTCATCACACACCAAAAATAAAAAATTTCCCTAACCTACGGGTTAATCCCCAACTAACTGCCACACTCACGGAACAAATCTTGGCTGTGTACACAAGAAATAAAATCTATTCCAAAGCAGTTTCATACAACATTCAAAAAAGCCTCCTGATAATCGTCCTATTTATTATTGGAACTGCTACTTGACCATGAAGAGAGACAATTTAACAACTTATGTGATTCTGTTTAAGCTTCACACTGGAAGGATGGTCACTGAGACTGATTACTCAACTTCAAAATGGGCACAGGAACACAAAGACAGCCAATCTATTGGCTCTGTGTGAGGATCTCGCACTGGGTTTTGCTTGCTCTAAGTGACAAACTAAGCTCATGCTCACAGCACACTGGACTGCAGCAAGAGAAAGAGGCAGAAGCAGATGTAACATCTCCTTCACTGTCATGAACCCAGAGACTAAAAGGAGCAAGGAAACCCTCTTTTGTCCACAGATTTACAAACATACAAAAAATAAATAATATTCTAAGACAGTACAAATGCAAATACTGTTCCCTTGTGTCAATTACATACAGCATGCCTACATAGAGAGAATGGTATTTCTTCTTCATTCACAGACAGGACATATGGCAGTGCACTATTCAGAATGCTTTGATAACCCTAAGTTTTGTTTCTGGTGCTGAGATATTATGAAAGGAACTGCATTTGCAACTTATTAAATACTTCCAGGAACAAATAGTTCACTTTGTTCAGGACTTATAGTTTTATGTGATTAATCATCCAGGGAGGAAGAACCGGTCAGCAGGTACCCGTTGGTACCACTGGTACCATTGGTGGTTGTTGCAGTGTGGGCGTTTTTCCTTGGGGGTTCAGAGTCCTCCTCATCTGAGCTAGACTCAATGTCACTTCGATCGTCCTTGGACACCTGAAACACAAGAAAGCTAATTAGTCAGCTTCTAAGGAGCCATCAAGGTACAGCATGTTAAGAAGATGGATTTAGGTATCATAAAGTTGGCATTGTTGACTTCTTTAAAGTATCTTTTTTTTTTTTTTTTTGGTACCTGGGATTGAACTCGGGACCTTGCGCTTTCGAGGCAGGCTCCAGAACCACTGAGCTAAATCCTCGGCCCCTTTGAAGTATCTTTTGATGCTGAAGGCATACTAGAGTCCCAGCAATGGAGACTTTTTGACACAAATGTCCAAACTGCAACCCCAAACTCACTTATTTATCATGAAGTGCCAACACTGCGATTAAACCTGAACACTGACTGAGGTTTTAGTTTAGAAAATATAACTCATACATTAACATCTTTTGTCTTAAAAGAAAAACAACACATGTGCCGTAGTTTTGCCATCACTCTACTAGACTATGCCTCTCCTCTTACCCCAAATAGGCACGCTACACTATTAGAATAATATTCCAAGAATTGGGTACAAATGGATCAGTCTATTCTCCAATGACCTTATTCTCTTTCAGAATTGTCTAAAGTCAGCTCCCAGTCACACTAATGGACATACTCACTAGTTTAGATCATAAAAAAAGTTCCTGTTTGACTTTGTAGTTTTATATGTCATCAAGAACTAATGACATTAGAAGGCATTTTCAGAATTTCTTGGGTGGGGTCTAGCTTACTATTTCCAGAGGAAAATTCACTAGCCAGATCCTCCAAAAATGGCCCCCATTGTACCAACTTCTTCAGTCCTCCACTTGGTCTCATTAAGTAACGAGGCTGGCAAAATAATGTACCAGGATATAAATCTATATGCTACATGAAGGATAAAAAAATCCTACTCTAACAAGGAAGTAATTTTAGGGGAAATTAAGGAACTACTCTATTGTTTTTAGGATGTTTGTTTGTTTGTTTGTTTGAGACACAGTCTCACTGTGTGGTTCACATTGGCCTGGAACTAACTATGTAACCCAGGGTGGCCTTAAACCTGTTGTGATTCTCTTGTCTCAGCCTCCTGAATGCTGGGATTACAGGTATGTGCCACCATGCTCGAGCAATACTCTATTGTTTTTTAAAATTAAAAGTTTAAACCTCTATAAATCTAAATTATAGTCAGTATTTTTACCCAGTAGACCTTAAGATCTTTCAGTAACTAAACATGGTTAACTTAATTTTTAAGTGATGTGGTCAAAGGGACCTGTTGGCATAGCTCAGTAGAAATTTTCCCAGTGCGGTCCTCCTGTGATTTCTTCAGGCCTGGGTTAAGGAGATTTGCATCTCCATGAGACATTTCAAAATAAATCATAACTTGTCTGTGCCTCCCCTCCCGACCAACTTGAGAACCCTAGCCTCTACCACTTCAAAGGCTACCACTGGTACGCAAGAACATCATCTTCCTCAGGTGGGTGGGGGAGGAGAAAGCACAAGCCCAGAACTGTTGCTCCATTCCAACCAGTAATGGAGTAAATGTCACACAAAGGAACCTCACGCCAATGTCCCATGAGATGGGACTGAACTCAGATAGGACATATCCAAAAACTATAGATCTATTATACGTCAGCGTGACTAGATGGTTAGGATATGTCAACTTAAAAACGTGGGTCACAAACACAGAGTTATGGGACAGCACCATCACATTATAAGTCCATTAGTCATCAATTAAACTGTTAGTAGAAAACTCTAGTTGCAGAGAGTGATTAATTTACATCTGCATGCCCAGTAAAATTATTTTAAATTGCATTTGAAAAATCTATACTTATGTTACCTTCAAAAGAAAAAAACCTACACAACAATTTAGAATATCTCAACCCACAGGAAAATGGCCCATGGACAAGATGAATAATCTTATTGTCTTAGATAAGAGCAGCAATGGCAGTTAAGAAATTATGAAGTCTGAGATCTGGAATGAAATTAATAATCATCTCTTCATAAAGATGAAGGAATAAAAGTTAGAGGAATGACAGTGTCTGGTGGAAATAGCAATGCAATAAAGACACAAGTAATCTAATCCACCGTATCCACGCAACCTTAGTTACTGTCATACTGACAGCACTGTGCATGTGGATTTAATTTGTATCCAAATGAGAACAAGACAGATTTTAATAGAAATACATGTTCATTTCAAAGAGTAAGAGGTCACAGAGAAAAACAAACAGCTTCTAAGAAATTAACAGATCAACCTATTTTGGGTTTCCACAGGATGATGCTGAGGACCCATCTCACAGTGCCCGGCCTCCCCCGAGGAAGGGGCAGGGACTGTGCACTGGATGAGCACAGGTGGGTAAGCACTGCCCGGGGCTTCGTGCAGATCAGGAAATCAATGATGTTCAGGCCTCCACTCTGCACTGTGCTGATCTTTCCCTAACTCCTCAACTGGTTTTCTCTTTTTGGCTTCTCTTTTGTCTATTTCTGCCTTTTAGCCAATATGTTAAAAACCAGTGTAAGAAATTCTTCTCCTTCCCTGGTGGATCAGGCAAAATTTAGCAGACTACACATTCACCCAACAGGGCACAGAGCTGTTCCTCCTGTCTTTGCCACTAACCGACACATAAAACTTCCAGTCAGTGCCAGTAGATTAGCTAGAACAATATGCATGAAGCAAAAGGATCTGAGTGCCACTCATCTGAGTGTGACACGCAGGACAGGGAAAGAGGAAGCGGGAGAAACTTACATGTAAAGGGTTCCACTTCCCAGCCTTCCAGGGTGGCAGGAGGAAGAGAACAAACAACGAAGTAAGAAAACGTCACAGAGAACAATCTGGAAAAGTCACTGCTTTACACAAAGCGTCTGAGGCTCAGGAAGTTTTATTCAAATCAGCCGCCTGAGTCCACTTTTAACCAAAGAGATTTAACTAAATTTTGTTGGAAAAGTCATGAATGTATTTATTCTTCAATTTGAGATGCAGGTTGGTTTAAATGGGCACACTGCACCAAGTGACACTTTACATAAAAAGAATAAAGTTGCTACATTTCTGTTCAGTACAAACGTAGTAAGAGAAGGACCAAGGGAGACATACAGGAGGAAAGAACACAAGTAATGCATCATCATTAAATCTAAAATTACAAATGCAGATCATGGGCCATCATCATTAACAAGTCAATATAAACACTTTTAAAATGAACTAAAGAGAAGAAAGTAATTTGGTTTGCTTCTAGGTGGTCTGGTTTAATTTGGAAGAAATAACACTGATTTTGATGAAATTTGAAATAACACTTATTTCAAAGAAACAACAACAAAAACCCTCAAATTTTCTGGGACATTTGAAAAGGGTGTTTTAGCTTACCTTGCCTCTTGAAACAGCCTTGCAGGCTATTTTTACAATCAAGTAAGACCAGAAGCAGTTCAACCCTTGTACTAGCAAGAGCAGTAGATTAAAAACCCACCAGGAAGGGTAAGGTCCAACGATTTCCCAACTTTCAAATAATGTGGTATTTAACACCCTAAAAAAAAAAAAAAAGACAGTAATTACTGAACACAGCATTTCACTCTGCTTCCAAAGGAATCGGAGTTTGTGCATAGAAGCAGAGTCAACAACCTCCCCACACGGAGCTCCCAGGAAGGATCGTGTGAAAGCTGAACAGTTCCGCGGCGAGCCGTCACGGGAAGTACTGCCCCGTGGTACGACTTTCCTGGTGATTCCAGCTCAAGTAGCGTACTTTTTCCAGTATACTTTAAAGACAATTGTGGTAAAACACATAGAACACCAAGTTTACCATCTTAAATATTCTTAAGTGTATATTTTGTATTGTTCGGTAATCATCACCATCACCCATCTTCAGAACTCTTCATCTTGCAAATCTGAAACTGTGGACCCAGTCGTAATTCCCCATCCTCTCTCCCTGGAGACCACCATTCTATTTTCTGCTGCAGTGAATTTTATTGCTGTAGGTACCGCAAGTGAGTGGAATCATACAATAGTTGTCTTTTTTTCATAACACCCTCAAACTTCCTTCATTTGCAGCAAGGGTCCCAACTCTTTTTGTTTCTAAGACTGAGTTTACACCGCCACCACATTTCTGTTCACCCATTCATTCTTCAGTAGATACTCAGGTTGTTCTGCCTTTTGACTATAATAAATAATGCTGCTAAGAGCATGAGTGTTCAAATATCTCTTTTAGAATATATAATACCATGGTATATACTTTGAAGTGGAATTGCTGTATCATTTGATTTTCTCCTAACCCTAGTCATTGTTTCTTTCACTCATTTTTTTGCACGTGATTCTATATTCAGCTACTTGTTAAAATGACTATGTGATCTTTGAGTCTGCTTTGGGTTTTCAATACTTGTAAAGAATACCACTCCATGACATCAAGATTAAAAAAAAAAAAGACTAGGCCTAGAAATACTGGTTAAGTGTAAACCACCTGCCTCTCACATTAGGAATTAGAATATTCATGAGACCATCAGAGTGGCCAGTGGAGGACCCTTAACTGTATAAGGCTTCCCCTGGAGGAACTGACAACCGAAAAACACTTTGAAGTATATTTTCCTGCTTAACTTTTATAATTATTCATATCATTTTGACTCTAATCAGAAGTAATTTTTACGCTCATTTTTCTTTGTATGAAACTAGTGCAGGATTTTTGTCTTTGAAAGAGGTTATCCCGTTCAAGACTGAGGTGAACACATACTGTTTTATTAGGTCCTCTGAGAAGCGGAGATTTTTGACTTCATTTTGAGAAAACTACCAAATGGTCTATTTTCATAGAGGAAAAATAGTCTAACAACAACAAAGGACAATAAAAGGGCATTATATACCAAAATGAATGAAGAAGGATCACGTTCACAAATATTGTATGTTTAACAAAATACTCGTAGATGATAATGTCCAATAGTCTTCCTGAGGGCTACAATCTTTTAAAACAGGGAATGGCCAAATCCAGTGCTACTGAAACAGCCTGAAGAATGCAATCTTAATTTGCCTGTATGGGACCCAAGGGTTAGTGTATTATTTTTTCCCCTACAAATTCACATTGTGCAATAACAAGTAAAGTCATCTGCATAAACTCGAGAGACTTCCCAGCTATTTACAAAGTATGAGTGGACATATGTGTATTACACTTTCTTTTAGATAAACATTAGCCACAGCAATTAGACAAGAGAAAGAAAAGGAATAAAGATAGGAAATGAAGGAGTCAAATTGTCTTTATTTGCAGATGACATGATACTCTATATAGAAGACCCCAAGAACTCCACCAAAAGTCTTCTAGACTTAATAACCAAATTCA